TGCTGGACCACACCCCAAGCGGCTGACGGAAGTGTATGGGGTCCGTCGCTCCTCCCCCCAGCCAGCCAACCAACCCACACACACACACACAAGCTCGCATATGAGATGTGAGGCCACTCTGTTTTATCACCCTTGGCTGGGGTGGAGATAGATACTCCCACACCCTAAGGCACTATCTTATGGTGGGACACAATCCCACACAGCTGTAAAACTGTTTAAAAGCAAAGTGCCGGGGTGTAAATTGGACCCGGAAGGTGAAACCTGAGAGAGGCCGTTTTTTGGTAAACACTTGAAGCGCTGCGAGTCCTTACCAGTCGCAGATGTTTCAGCTTGCCGGAGTTTGTTACTCCTCAGGAAAGATAAAGAAAAAACAGTCTCACCATAATGGCTGTTTCTGTTTGTTTCATCAGATCACACTACTCAAATATTAATTCCAATTCGAAACATTTTAATATTGGATATGCAAAAAGGGTACAATTACAGGTAAATACGACTACCAAAACAATGTCTTTTTATTGCTGTTCAGCAGATTATGTTAAATCTAGACACCCTGTATATATAAATGATATTTGTGTATGTACTTTTCTTATTTTCTTATTAGGGTTTATGCAATGATGTACATTAAATTTAATCTATTTATTGTACAAATTGAGCTCAGATTGCACAGCAAGCATCTGGCAAAAATCAGCCTGTGCCTCTTTCTCAATATGGGCTTGGTATTTACCCAGGCCGCTGTTCTGCTATTGAAGTGGGCCGATCCTTTTCTCATTACAAGTCTGTTTCCTCATTTCGTAAATATGCATTTTCTCCAGGCTTCTGAACAGACAATCTGTTAGTGCTCCCCCGAGTAACTGTTTTCTCTACAGAAACTTTGACAAGCTCTTGAAGCCTTCTTTGTGCGATTTCATTTCAATCTTCCAACTGGAACGAAACAGATACATTCACCAAACACTATCTCAAAAAAAAAAAAAACGTGTCCGATTATATTATATTTTAGCATTAAAACCCTCTGGCATATTTTTTTATGACAAAGTAAAAACAGGTCACAGTATTGAGGAATGACTATAACTCGATGTATTTAGAAGTTTATGTGGATCTGAATTTTGGACGATAAGGTTTCCCTGAAAAAATGTACCTGCTGATGTGTAAACAAACACTGAGGCACTTTCGAACGGCCCACACCATTTGCGATCTGCACAGTTATTCATCTCCTAGGTAATGAGATAAGAGAAGCCCTTTCACAAATGCTGCTTCCAAACGTACACTACCCTCAGCTGCGTGACCATGAAGCACTTTATGCTACGGTGTTAAGCAAGTATCTGCCCGCGGCCTCCCTGGATACGCTGGGATAATGTTTAACCGAGGGCTTGTGCAATGTTCTTAGCTGAGAAGATGCACATGTAAATAAGCCAGCCTCGGTGCTCAGGTGCTGAAGCGCTGCTACTGTGCATGTGAAAGGAAGAACAGACCTCCCCGCCCGGGATGACTCTGCATAGATAAGTTAGCCTTTTGATCACTAATGGTTTGGTATTACAGACGCAGACACCACCCATGAAGACAAGTACTCACAATACGGAGATCTTTAGAAGTTATCTTCTGCTTTGCATCTTGTGCGATATTGTGGGTAACACGTTTCAGGAAGAACCATGCCTTTTTATTTAAAGGAATTAAAAATAAGAATAATTTTTTATTGATAAATGCTTATTGTGAAACTATTGTCCTTTTATGGCTAGGTTCATATTCAGAAAATGATGAACAAGTTTTAAATAATGCTTTAAAGTACACTGCAAACTCAGAGCTGTGAGATAATTTTACCAGAATAGATATCTTCAGCCTGGGCTCTGTATGGTCTACATGCACGGTTGCATATAACAAACGGTGCTGATTGATGTCTTCAATAAAAGTCAGCTTCTTTTCTTCATAGACCCCTTTCATTCAGAGCTGGTGGTGTCAAAATAATAATCCATCCACATGTCTGGCTTGCTCAGACAAGATAGGACATGCTGCACCCAGTCAGTCCTCTACCAGGTTCTGACCAAGCCCTCAGTGGTGTGATCTCTATGGGCTCTGCTATCGACCAGCGGCCTGCTGATTCCAGGCCCTTCATTTTCGTTATGTTTCTCTTGCTGTGGCATGCTCCCTCTCACATCTCCTGCCCTGCCCACAAAGGACTTCCCAACTCTTTCAGCTGTTTCAGGTTCAGGCTTACCTTAAAGTTTAGATTCAGCCTTAGCATCAGTTTTAGCTATCCATCTGATTATCCCTTATTAGCAGTCTTAGTCAGCCACGTTATTTAGCCTTACTGTCAGTCTTAGTTAGCCATGTTATTTAGCCTTACTGTCAGTCTTAGTTAGCCATGTTATTTAGCCTTACTGTCAGTCTTAGTTAGCCATGTTATTAAGTCTTAGTTAGCCAT